TAGAACTAAGTAAACACAGATGGATGAGGTGATTGAAAAAGTTAAACTCAAGATGAATGACTGGAAAAATACTTTCCTTTCTAATGGGGGTAGGCTCACTTTGTTGAAAAGTGTCATATGCACCCTTCCTCTCTACACTATGCAAGTTCTTAAAATAAAAAAAAAGCACTCAAAAGAATCTTCAAATAATCTTTAACAAGTTCCTTTGGAAGGGCTCTAGATCATCTAAAAGTTAGACCACTTGGCACTACACTTGCAAGCGACTTACTGCAGGTGGGCATGGGTTTAAAACTTTACAGCATACTACTGATATTAACATGTGTAAACTCTGGTTCAAATTTTGATTGGTGGAGTAATGTAAAAATCTTCATCCCTCTACGATTAATTGGAAAGTGGGGGATTCTACGCTTTGGAAGGCTATTATTGATGCACGGGATGTAGCATCTCATTTTATGTTTTGGGACATTGAAGATGGTAGTATTTCCTTATGGAAGGATGATTGGGGCATCTCTATGTATTCTACTTTGCCTGTCTCTGGTTATGATGCTAATTTGCTAGTCTCAGACTGCTAGATTAATGGTGATTGGAATTTAACTATGTTGAATTCTTTAGTTGGTGATATAGCTCCTGCTATTGCTACTATTCCTATTCATTCTCAAGATAAGGATGCTCCTTACTGGAAGAACCATACAAGAACATCTGTTACAAAGTTCCTTTACTCGAATCTGCACTCTTGATTTTACTCCTTGGAAATGGCAAATTTACACTTGGCATAAATTTATTTCTCCATCTATCTCAATTTTCCTTTGGAGATATTTTTATAAACTGCTCCCTCTAGATGATATTCTTAAACTGGAAGGGTTGAAACATGCCTCTTTTTGTTATAATTGTAAAAAAGATGCAGAATATTTTAATCAATTATTTTTCTTTTGTCCTTTTGCTAAAGAGGTTTGACAATATATTGGGTGCTTCTTTGGTATTAACTGGCCCTCAAATCTGACCCTTAAATCTACTATTAAGATTTGGAGGGATTTTGATCTTTCCTTCAACAAGCACTTTTATTTTCCTGGTATAGTCTTATGGTTTATGTGGATGGCTAGGAATACTAAAAAATATGAAGCTTTTTGTCATACTCCCTCTACCACATCTATTTTAGCACTGGCTTATTTTAAAAAAGTCTTGGAAGTCTTTCAGTGGACAAGATGTCTCTCCTTCTGTGGGTTGGGGTAGGAAACCTATTTTAATTAAACGGGCACCACCTCCCATGGCTGGTTTAAAGTTAATGTTGATGGGAGTTATTTCAATGCCTATACATGTATGTGAGGGCTAATCAGAGATGGTATAGTCTTATGGTTTATGTGGATGGTATAGTGCATTGCTTATTTTGCTTCACCTTGCATTGTTAATTCTCCTCTTGAGGCAGAGGCTATTGCTGTGCTTGCTGCACTTCAAACTATTTCCTCTCTCAATCTTAATGGCATTGTACCGGAAATAGATTCCGAACTAATGTTTAACATTCTTGTGATGCCACCATGGTATATCATTTCTTGGCTGAGAAGAATTCGTAAAATTATAGAGAGGCAACACTAAATATACTTTTTTCATTTACTTATAGAGAGGGAAACCAATCTACGGATTGCCTGGCTAAATGGAGGGTGCCAAGTGCTACTGTTGGGGATACTCCTCCTTTATTGCATAAACTTAGTAAAAGTGACTTGGATGCCCCTTATGTTCGATTTTAATCTGCTACCTCTTTATATTGGCTCCAGTTCTAGTAACATGGGACTGTCGTTGGCTATATTGGAATGCATAATTCTTTCTTTCTTTGATTTGCTATGTTGTAATTATAACCAGGTTGTACGGAATGGTTATTGTTGTTGGTTCTTTTATTTGGCTAGGACTATTGAGGTGTTCAATAGAAAAACCTTAATCATCATTTACTTTTGCTTCCTATATTTTTGGATTTTGGTTTCTCTGTTTCATGTTTACTATGCAATTTTTTTTTTCTTTGATTTATGGAAGGAAGGTGGCTATAACTGTTGGCTTGGGCAGTTTAAGCTGGTTTGCTTGGTTTGCACTTTTGGACTGGTTAACTGCTCACCTGTTGTCATTTATAGTTCTAGTGTTTTGAAACATTTTAATTTTTTAATGGCTTTTTGGAAGTTTGTTGGAAGGCTGCCTTGGTTTAGGCTCTGTTATGGAAATTTGGTTTTAAATGATTGGGATTTCTTCGTGGGTCGGGAATTAAGTGGTGCGGCTGTATTTTATATGTTAATTGCACTTCTCTGCTGCTGATATGGGGTTTTTTACTCTAATTTAGGTTTTTACTGCCTCATATTACTATTTTTGGTTTGGATGATGATTGGACAACATTTTTGGCCTAGATTGCGTTGGCTGGACTATTATGCAATTAGTTGGTTCGTCCCTATACGACATTACTCAATTTTGCTTGAGGCCACACTGGGCTTTATGTATTTGGATGCACATTCCATATTATCTTCATGGTTTCTCTGGATCCTTGGAGACTATACTCAGTGGATACAAGATACTTATGCACACTTCTATTCATTGCCATTATTATTTTTACTATTTTACCTGGTTTGACAAGCATTGTATGTTGAAGCCTAACTATGTCTTGGCAGGGAAATTCATTACTGAGTGCAGTCGGAGTTTGTGGGTCGGAGTCTATTGTTGATCCCACTGGACATTGCATTTTTAACTTTGATTTTGCTCTCCTCTACTAAAGTTGCCACAGGTTTTGGTATACATGTAATTTTTGGGTACACATTACTCTTTTGTATACATTTTGAGGGTTTACATGCATTTTTTGATTTTTTTGCGTGGAGTTGTACTGTGGATAGTGGAACCCCTAGGAACATGATGCATTTTGTTTTGTTTTTAGTTGGGGATCCACTATCCCTCCCAAATTTTGTACCCCTTTTTCTTTATTAACGCGTAAGGGGCCATGGGTTTCCCTTTTAATTATATATATATATAACCACCAGACAAAGAGAAAATGAAATTAAACAACTGTTTATGTATTGTGTTATCAATAGAGTCGCATTAACATAAGAAATTAGGTAAGAAAAAAATTATTCCAGAATAAAACTTATGTTACACGAAGAATGCTCAGAAAGTTAGAAAGTGAATATTTTACAAGAGGATTAGAAGTTGCTTCGGTCAACACATGCTTCAACAGAAACAACCTCCTTCGTAGAAATTCTTCTATAGACCTAAACTGACTCAGTTGGTATGATTCACTTTAAACTAGGAATATCAAGCTCTTACAACCCCTACATAGAATCTGGTCTGTGATTACTGGTGCTCTGATTAAACCCTCAACTAATTCTAGAGCTGGATCATATGCACCAAGAGTCATCATAAAATAAAAAAGGCTAAGAGAAATTAGTCAACACAAATTAGACCAAAGCCCCTCATACCTATGATTTGATTCAACTCAAATATTGTAAATGACATGACAGGCTGACCATAGAGGACTAGGGAAATTGACAGATGCACGCTAGATGATATTTAAGTGATTTGGTCCCTTGGATGGTCTTGGGTTTTAATGGGAGGTTGAACAACTGGATCAAAGTCTGAATCGGCTGGCTAAACTTTCTTTGATTTCATGTCAAGGATTGTATCAGAGGATCCCACCAAATCTGACAGTCAGAGTGCAATTTTCTTTTTATTTACGATGATTTCTTTCTCTTTTCACATTTAATTTGGTCTTATCTTTCTGGTTTTTCAAAGACAGAGCAAATCACCTCTGGTGGAACGTCAACCTGTGACTTCACCAGTTTGTTCGTCGCTGCATCTAAAAAGCGAAAGCCAACCAAATCAAATAATGGAAGGTGTGGAGTAAACTAGGAATAGGAAGTAATCCATAAACCCTATTTGAAAGAATCAAAGGCACCAAAATAAAGATAGAATAGTCAATGAACCATCAATTAAAACTAAATGTGACTAATTTTACATTAAATTCCCCTATGCCTATTGGAGTGTCACTTTCAAGAAAGAAAATCAATCAACTTAAATATATACCTCAAAAAAGAGTCTGTGTAGATCTTAAATAGATCTAACATTCCGTAAGAGAAGAGTGTAATAGAGATGATCCTATCCGAGGTGATTGTGACGCCCAGCTGACTGAATAAGCCAAGCCTCTAGGCTAAAACCAACTGAGTCAAAATGCAAATAAGAAGACGAGGTGATCGAATTATAATTCGTTCGATCAGAAACGAGCAAGAAAGCATCTAAGCCATCTGCTATAGAAAAGTTGGCTCAGTGTGATAGCTTATCACGCCGTTAAGCCGATCCAAAGGATGAGCAAGTTCAACAAAGTATCTTTGACCACTAGTGGAGACCTAAAGATTCCTCGACAGGGATCAAAAATATTCAACCAAGCTGGATCAACAAATTGAATCCTTCAGACCCAGCTTAACCAATCAAGCTAACCTTATCGATATGAGTAATCCAAATTTAGATGGTCAAGCCAAGACACATCATGATAATAAGCTCATGCTTGTAAAATATCATAAATACCCTAGTATAGATCTCCTATAAATGTGGGTAAAATTATAGTATCACCATTGTACTATCATCCCCATAAATAATAAAGAAAATATTTCATGAAGCACCTATCTTTGTCTTTCTTGCCATTTCTAGGCAATCACATATATATATATATATTGAATATGAGAGAAACGTTGGGCCTTCAATTTAATGATATTATCTTAACTTAAAATAAATTTTTATCGAGACTTGTTGTTGAAGATTAGCCCAAGATATTATGCGCCTATGCGGCAGCCAGATAGCCACACAAAATACCATCATTTTACAAGCATTTCCAATCCTTATCTATCAAATCACAACCGTCCATCCCAAATCTTCTTTTGTCTCCTACTATAAATTCGTCACCAATAGCGTTCCATCTGCTCAAGCCATTAGTAACTCCACCTAAAAGTTTTCTTATCCAAAACTAACATTTGATCCTTAATCCAATGTCTGAGGAGAAGCACCACCACCACCACCACTTCGGCCACCGCCACAAGGAGGAGGAGGAGGAGAAGCGTTCCGAAGAATATAAGTTGCATGAAGTAATGTACAATATCTTCTATAAGGGTTTATTGTGCTTGCAATCTAACTATAGTGTACAGGTGCAAGGATTTGTTGAGGATGGAACGGGAGTTAAAGTTGCTACATTGCTGGGTAAATGGGATGATTATATGTATTACATTAATGGATATGATGCTTCTAAGATCAAGTTTCCTGTTGCACCCGGTGATGCATCCTTATTATGGAAAAAAAATGATTCTCCTGCAAACCCTACTCGGTATAACTTGACATCATTTGCAATTACACTAAATGAATTAACACCTGGATTGCTGGTAAGAATTTGCATCAAACCAATTGATTTCCCTTTATTTTATTTTATTTTTTACCTTCTTACGTACTATGTGTAATTTTGTAAGTTGTAACCTCAATGTTTTAATGATGAATCAAGGAGAGACTCCCACCTACTGATTCAAGACTAAGGCCAGACCAGCGTTATCTAGAAAATGGAGAATATGAGAAGGCAAATGAAGAAAAACTGCGCCTAGAGAAGAGGCAACGAATGGTAATTCTTCTCCCACTTTTTATGATGTCAGCTTTTATAGATTGCCATATTGGTTTTTATTCCTTGAAGTATTATTTCTTAACTTTTTTTATCGTTGTCATGTACAGTAGTTTAACCGAAGGGGATTTGGAGATGCTCTAGCCCCACATAAATTTGAGAAAAATACTCTTAATCTCTTTATACTTCAAAAAAGTTTTGACTTTTAAATTTTCTTTTAGCTATTTATATTGAGGAAATTTCCTTCATTTAAAATTTTAGTTTAACAATTGATCATGTGGATAATGGTTTTCAAACCATTTGGCCAAGATTTCTATGATAGCAAGATATAATGGTCTGTGAGGTTGCTCGTCCGGAGCTGCGAATGTTTATAGTTTAGCAAACTCTTTAAAAAAGATTTAGTACCTATATATATATATATATATATATATATATAACTAGCTATTCAAAAATGAAATATGATCACGATGGTTTTTGTGAAGAAATATTTCTTGAAAAATAGATTAACATGGTAAAATACACATTGATTTTAATTATTTGCTGCTTTAAATAAAAATAGTTTCAAATGTTACAAAAGTTTTAATTTTGAAAAGCTTTTAGGTCCTTCAAAAATGTTGTATGACAAAATCTAAATTAAAAAAAATTGCTTTTTGAAAATTCTAAAAAACCTTCTCTTGACGGGGCAAAGCACCTCAACCAACCAAAAAACTTTTAATTGGCTGTATAATATTTCTTGATGATCTGACCTAACGGATTATGAAATGAGTCTAA